TCGTTGCTACTTTACTACGATTTTCTCTGGTTTCTTTATGTGATGTATGCTGCTATCCAGAGAAGGTCTGTTACAAGGAGGGGGCCACTTGTTTGTCCCAGCGATCCAGAACCAAAATAATCACGCAGAAATTATATTATTTAAAACACTGATTGGCCCATTAGCTTTAGTTTATTATTGGCTAACTCTTACCTCTGAAAGACCCTCAGAGAGGTCCTTCCCTCAGGAGGAGACCCCTAACCCAAGGAACAGTCGAGACCACAGGCTGTAATTAGCAAGAGGTTTATTGGGTGGGCACAGGTACCTGTGGGCGGCAAAGTCCTTTCGGAGGACTTGCGTGCCTGTAGGCTGGGAGAAGGTCTTTTTATAGGAAAAGGGTGGCAAAAGCAGGCATACAGAAGCAATGCATGGTTACAGGGATCTCATTGTTCAGTTCGAATGAGGTGATGGGTTCATTTAGGGGACAAGTTCCCCGGAGACATGAAGGTCTGATAATAATAGCAGACTTGGCCCTATCTGGGATACATGTAGTTTTTCCCAGAACTGTTCGTTCCCCTCCCAGGCCTGGTATCTGACCACAGATATCCTGTTTGACCACCTAGGAGTACTGACTTTACCTTGAACTTACATTTATTTGTGTGAAGGCTTTGCAAAATGGCATTTCAGCAGCTAAGCTGGGGTCTTTCACCTCTTAATTTAACCCATATCTGTTAATCTGTGCATCACCAAGAACTTGTGGCCTACCAGCAAAATTTCAGCGTGTCTGTCTCTGGTGGAGGCTACATGGCTTCTCTTTCACTCTGCCTTCTCTCTCCCAGCATTCAGCTTAGTTTTCCCCGCCTAACTCTGTTCCCCTATAGCTCTGCTATAGACCCAAAGCAGTTCCTTTATTTTTTAGTGGTAATCACAGCATACAGAGGGAAATCCCACATCACCTCCCCTTTTTTGTTTAAATAAAAAGGAAGGTTTTAACTTTAACGTTGTAAAATTACATAAAACAGTTACCAAGCAAGAATTACAGTTATATCTATTTTATCTTTTATCATAACTAAGGAAACTATATTATTACTATCTATTCTTCAACTCCATCGAAGACTCAAGGAGGATATAATACTACCTAAGTAAACAGGAAGTTCATTGTAAGCAACTGCCAAAACTCTAGAATTGACAAGAGACATCTCATGGCCTCGACAGTCACCCAAAGTTCTTCTGTACCATTGGGGCATCCATCTTCAGCCTACAGGTCCATAGTATCCAGGAGACTTTTCCATAAAGCAGGAAATTTCAAAGACAAGTCTGCCTATATTGGCAGTTTGCTAGTCACTTTCTTTTGGATCCTGTAGAATGTCTAGCAGATTCTTTCATGAAGCAGGAACCCCGAAGGATCACCTCACCTTTAGGCAAGTTTAGCAATCTGTTTCTCTGCGGGTTCTTCATGTCCAGTTCATCAAGCAGTTCAGGCAAGAGCAGTTTCTTGCCCAAATAGGTAACAAACTCCTTAAGGAACCTCTTCGACACCCATCATCTTCTTGAAGTAGCTTGATGCTGCCAGAAACAAACGTTTCACTGTCATGAAAAGTCTTAAGCTCTTAAAACATTTTAAATGCCATATTCTGTAGTCTTTGAAAGGTTTGAAGAATGCTTGTCCATCTGAAATACGTATCTGTCCGTCTAGAAAATCTAACTAGCATGACTACAAGCTTGACTATTGTAGATGATTATCTATTTACCCATATTTCTTAATTATACATTATATTTTTAAATTAAGAGCAGAAATATGTGTGTGTGTGTATGTGTGTATGTGTGTGTATACCCATGCAAATCTCTATAGCATATCCTCCTTTAAATGTAAACAAACATTTACAAACAGTATTTGGGAATTTGGGCGTAGTTCTCTAGACTTTTTCCTGCTGACTGGGGGTGCTCTTAATCAGGTCTTTTCATGGTATATCCTGTGTGCTAGGTTCTTCTCAGTCAGCAGTTGGGTGGCTAAGGTCACTTTTGGGAGTGTTTCAGAGCATCTTGGTCCATCAAACCACATTAGCCTGGAATGAATCCACAGGTTCTCATCCTCTGTAGAAACAAAAGAAGAACCTCTCTTCCAAAGCAATATATTGTTAGACCCTTATTTTGAATTCAAGATACCTTTAAAATATACATGCTGGTTTAGCTTAGTAGCCCATACAATGAAATGTCTCTCTGTTGTTAGCTCCTTCACAGTCAGAAAATTCAAAGGAAACACAATAATATAAATAATCCAGACTCTCTGTGTATATTCCATCTTTACATGGCTTATTGTTTTTTTACTTCTTTTAATCTGACTGTCTGTACTCTGTCTCTTTCAAGACTTTACCTTTTTTTTAAAAAAAAATAACCATTTACTTCTTTTTATAATTGTCTATATTCTTTTTCTTCTCTCTCCCAAGCCTACATACATTTATCTCAACACTGTGACCCATTTAGAGGTCCTTTATGTCTGAATCTGTCCTATTGTGTATCTGTAATTTTTTACTGTCCAGGAGCACTTCTTAAAATGCTAAGTGCTTCTTAAAACTTAAGCTGCACCACTGCCAGGGTAAATACGGTACTCCCTGCTTGCTTTACCCAGTCGGACATGGTGGAACTGTTTGCTGCCTCTGAGAGCCATGCTCACAGCCCCATTTTTAGGCACACAGCCAGTCTATGTTGCCATGAAGCAAGTTGTAACACTCTGGTCACAAGCCCCATTTAAATGCTCCATAGCCAGACCTCTGAAAAGAGTCAGAGGTATTTGTGCTGGCAAACCAGAAAGCCCCTGTTTTTGTTTTTGTTTTGTTTTTTTTTTTTTTGTTTCTTTTTTAAAGAGGCCACACAGTTTTTACACACAGTACCTTACTCACTGCAAGCCCATCTAGAAAAAAAAATGTGGCGACCAAGAAAATGCTAAACTCTGTTTTTGTTTGAGTCTGGAATTCCTTTTCAAGCTTTCTCGGGTTTTAAGTGGATTTTATTTTGGCTTGGGCATCAATTTGTCACCAATTTGTTACCAATTTGTTGCAAGGAGGGAACTGTTTGTTCATCCTGGGTGCCCAGAACTGAAATAATCACACAGAAACTATACATATATTATTTAAAACACTGCTTGGCCCATTAGCTCTAACTTCTTATCGGCTAACTCTTTTTGTTTGTTTGTTTTGGTTTTTTTGTTTTATTGTCTTTTCGAGACAGGGTTTCTCTTTAGCTTTGGTGCCTGTCCTAGCTCTTGTAGACCAGGCTGGCCTCAAACTCAACAGAGATCCTCCTGCCACTGCCTCCCTAGTGCTGGGATTAAAGGCATGCACCTCCACCACCCAGCTAACTCTTACCTCTTAATTTAACCCATCTTCATAAGTCTGACATCACCACGAGGTCATGGCCTACCAGCAAAGTTTTAGCGTGTGTCTGTCTCTGGCAGAGAATCCATGGCTTCTCTATGACTCTGCCTTCTCTCTCCCAGCTTTCAGTTTAGTTTTCTCCTGCTAGCTCTGTTCCCCTGTAGCTCTGCTGTAGGCCCAAAACAGTTCCTTTATTTATCAATGGTAATCACACAGTCTGGCGTCAGATGTGTAGAACACCCTAGATGGATGTGTCTTTTAAGTTTCCCTCTTCTGTTGTACTGAGAATCTTGTTAACCAGTATATTTACTTGATTTTTAAAAATTCCTTTTTGTTTTCTGGTTTGAGTTTTTATGAAAAGTCCAGTTTATTGGTGGTTGTATGATTTCAGGTGTTTACAGCCTTTTCTGTTCTGTTTGTAACTGTGTGCCTTAGCCTTGTTTCCTGTTTCTGCTCTGTACTATGCTGACTCAATGAGAAAGCTCTAGGAGCTGACTTGCCTCAAGGAATGCTCTCTTAGCTTTTCCAGGAAATTAAAGAACTTCATTGACTACAGAATGCACTGACTTTACCATTAAAATCATTTTCATCAATCACATGGGGTTTGATCACATGTCACCTGTTATAGGTTGGACACTGAATTCTAGCCCTGGGTTCTGAACTATGTGGTTGTCATGGTGGATCGCTTTCAGTGGTTTAGTTCAGCCTCTGTACAAAATGAATCTAGATTTTAGAGTGGTGTCTAGATGGTGGTTTTAAGGAACTGAGAGAAGGGAAAGAGCTGAGAATCTTATTACTATTAATAGGTGTTAATTAATTAGTTTATTTGTTTACTTATTTCTTTTTTCAGCAAGATATAAGTAATTGCTCTTGTTAGAATAAGCTACAGTGTTTACTAGCCATTTGTAGGTGGGCATCTCTTCTCCAGTATGAAGATTTTTCTCTACTAACGCTGTCTGGCATTTAGCAGGAATGCCTTTGTTCTCTTCTCTGCTCTCATGTATCCTAAGTGTCTAATAAAAACCAGAGCTCTCCTACATCATGTGATTACTATGCCTGAGCGTCACAGGCCCAGTGGTGCCCTGACATTAATTAGTAAATTTCGGGTTTGCCTTGATTCATTTGTAACTGGATAATTTATAAATAAACTCTTTAGTCGACAGTGCCCATGAAGGATGCCATAGTAGCAAAGCCCTGATAGAACATGCCTTAGCTTTGGGTCTTTCCTTAATAGAAGTTCACAATTTTATTATGGTAATAACGATACTGGAGGTAGATAGTTCACATGCCAGTATTTGTTTATTTTTATCTTACATATTTTGTGTATATATGTCTATACATACTTGAATAATTAGATCTTGCTATGTAGCCCGGGCCAGCTTTACACCTGTGATTCTTTTGCCTTAGCCTACCAAGTAGATCTGATTCACCCTGAATTAGTTACATTTCAGAGGCACAGCAATCTCTAGCCAGGTAATAAATACCTGCTTTTAGTAGAGAATTATTATCTCATAAGAGATGTTCCTTCATGAAAGAAAGAGGAAGAGCCGCTGTTGTCTTTGTCTGGGATCTCTATGTTTAAAGCTACTGAAGAAACAGTCATCTGTCTGTGTCCTCATGCTAACCAACCCTTTTGTATGTTTTCAGAGGTGGTGGCCCAGTGGTGTACACAAGGAGACTTACTGGCAGTTGCTGGGATGGAGCAGCAGCCCCAGCTCAGCGAACTGCCCAATGGTCCTTTTCTGAAGAGTGCCATGGTCAAGTTCTACAATGTTAGAGGGGAGCACATCTTCACACTGGACACACTTGTGCAGGTGAGGACACTTGAAAATACCTGTTGCTACGGTCCATCTTTGGTGAATAATCAGGTGTTAGTTATTGTTGTTACCTTTGGAAAACTTTATTTTAATCTTTTTTCCTCAATTGATTCATGACATATGAATCAGGGAAATAGGGAAGAAAATGTCTTTTACCATTTCACCAAAATGCTTGATTTCATTTTGAAATCAAATGAAAGAGAAATAGAGGGATGTGTTTCTGTTCTGGCCACTTAGCAGGAAACCCTGAGATGACTGAATTAATTCTAGGTCTGCACACAAGAGAAACATAGAGACTTAGCGTATACCTCCTGTAAACACGAGAGGCAACCATAGAATTGACAGACTGTAAGGTGGATCGCAGAGGGCTGTGTTAGCCTGCAAGCTTATAGATGTTGCTAAAAGAGTGAGGGAAAGGCTCATCAGAAAGAGAACAGTGTTAGACAAAGCCATGGCTTGTTCTGCAGCCTTTTCCACCAAGGGACTCTGGCAGTTCATCTTCTCATCCCCAGGCTGTAGCAGCACAGTTTCCTCTGTTTCTGTGAGTTGTGCTCCTTATGCCTCATGCAAATAGAATCACAGGGAATGGGTCTTCTTTTTCTCCTCCAGCATAATGCCCTCAGGGTTCATCTGTGTTACAGTGTACAGGGTGAATCTGCCTACATTTTTATGGCTAAGTAGATTTTATTATTTGAATATAATACACTTTGTTTGCCCATTCCTACATCCGTGGACATTTGAGTTTCTTCTGTCTTTGGCAGTTGTTTTGTTTTGTTTGAGACAGAGCTTCTCTTTGTAGCCTTGGTTGACCTAAAACTCAATATGTAGACCAGGCTGTTCTTGAACTCAGAACTTCTGCCTCTGCCTTCCAAGTGCTGGTATGAAGTCATATACCAGCTCACTTGCTGACTGTTGAGTGTCCTGCTGTAAACATGGCTGTACAGACACCTCTCTGAGACCTTTTGTAAGTTCTTTGGATATGTACCCAGAAGTTCACTTTTAACTGTGTGATGACCGACTGTTTTCCACTGAGCTGCCTGTTTATACCTCCCCACCTGCCTTTCTAAGAGTCACACTTTCTCCATATCCTCCCTAGTGTTTGTTATTATCTGGAAGTTGTGTTCTTATGTCACGCTGGGTATACATGATGTTTGTTTGTGTGCTGTTGGGCACTGCACCGAGTATCTCTCTGGGATTCATGCATCTTTAAATAGATAGCTTTTCAAGTCTTTTGCTCATTTTTTAATCAAGCTTTCTTTTTTGTTTATTTATAAGATTTAAATGTCTGTTGCTATTACATCTTTTGTGAGCAGAGTAGAATGTTTGCTCACTTATTAATCCGTGGATATAGCTGATATTTTGAGAGGTTACTATGTGGCTGTCATAAGCTTTTAAGTACCACTGTGTAAGAGCTAAACAAGAAGACAAAATCCAAAACCTTGGAAACAGTTAAAGATGATCACAGATATATGCTCCAGATTTTGAATTAGAATTGTCTTCCAGATGCTGTGGTAACAATGGTAAAAGGAATACTTAGTGGGACTTGCTTTTCTTGGGGATTTTTCCAGCTCCGTACTTCCATGAGGACAGATACCATTTTGAGGAGCCATAGTAATTACAAACCTCCTATCAGCCATCCCTTACATCAGAACAACCCTAGTAGAATGAATCTGAGGTGGGTTTTCAGTAGATAAAGCCACTGTAACACGATTCTTTGCATTCCACTTTATCCTGCCTTTTATCACGGTCCTCGTATTCGTCCACCTATTATTCCTCCATGAAACAGGTTCCCCTCTCTTACCTCATTCAGTAAAGCTTGTGAAATCTATGACACCCCTACAGTTGTCATGGCTGTTTGTAAAGATGTAGAGCGTTCATCCTGACAAGGAACCCCTGATGGGCAGGCTCCTCTGAAGGTCGAGGTCTACCCATCAGTGCTTCACCCAGAAGCCAAGTCAAACTGTCAGCCAAGTCCAGACAGATATGTGGGTGGAGATAATTAGGAAGTGGGACTAACAGATTCAAGTAGAGATTCCTCATCCTGAAGTGAAATTGGATTAAGTGCCAAAGGAGTAGATAGTGAGAGAGGGTAAATACAGAAAGAACTCCCTATGCTTAGAGAGTAGAATATGGACTTCAGTTAGCAAGCAGCAGGTGCAAAGGAGATAAAATGTCATAAAGAACCATTTCAGGGACATATGTCAGCCTACAGGACAGCAGTTGAATGTATACATGGCAAAACTGGGCTTGGAGATCATAAGGTTGAGTGTTATCATTATGAGGGAAGTTATGCTGTAAACATTTTTTCAGTCAGTCACTGTTTATGGAGCCATCTCTTTCTGTGTTAAGTGTTCTAGATGCTGGAGATGTCGCTGCAACAGCAAAGATAAAGAGTGAGCAGCCATATTTTTTTTTCTGAAGTACAGTAAAATATTTGAGCTTTAACTGTTTAAAGTGACAAAGCATGCAAAGAAGATAAGGAATGGGAGGTAACATGAAACAGACGTGTTTGTTCATAAGCAACTAATAAGACCTTGCGGCAGAAAAAGAAGAAATATGCAAGACCCCAATCAAGGTGGACACTGAGCTTGGGGCAACATGGTCAGCCTGGAAGATATGCACAAGGGAGAGAGTTGAGCAGGAGCCGTGAGACAGCTTCCGACTGGCTCCCTGACAGACTGGGGAGGTAGATAAAAAGCACAGATGGGGGCTGGAGAGATGGCTCAGTGGTTAAGAGCATTGCCTGCTCTTCCAAAGGTCCTGAGTTCAATTCCCGGCAACCACATGGTGGCTCACAACCATCTGTAGGGAGGTCTGGCGCCCTCTTCTGGCCTTCAGGCATACAGACAGAATATTGTATACATAATAAATAAATAAATAAATAAATAAATAAATAAATAAATAAATATTAAAAAAAAAAAAGCACAGATGGAAGTAGAATACAGGAGTCCTTGGGAGCAAAATAAACTGAGAGGAAATCCACATGGAAGCCGAGAGCTTTTAAAGCAGAGCCAGTGGTGCTGTTTCCTTCCCCTTCCTAGAGTCAGAAACACTGATACCTGGTATAAGGAGTTTAGGAGGGTCACTGTAGTATCTGGTGAGGGCCTTGATGTCATCAAAATATGGCAGAGGGCACCACACAGGACAGAACGAGCACAGCAGCTGGAGTCCCTTCCCCTCTTAGCCAGTGCCTTCCTGCAGCCTCACTTCATGACCAGTTCTAACCCCAGGTCCCTCAAAGGTCTTACGTCCAAATAACAGCCATGTCATTTAACTATGAGGGTTAATTTAGCATCTGGGGACACATTCAAATGTGTGCATAGCAGGCAGGCAGGAGAAGATGGGAAGTTTTTCAGTATTTCTAAATTCATAAGACTTCTGTACTTAATTGAATATTTGCAAATTCAGCTTGAGACATATCCCATGATTCTGTCTTTGAATACATGTCTGCCCAGCCTTCTGTTCCCTGGATAGAGAATGTCTTGCTCAGCTTTCTCAGTTCAAAGAAATCTATCCCTAACACCTACTAGATAACATGCTCTTTTAAATCTGCCCAAAGCTTTATGACCTTCTTTTCCTTAAACTCTTATAGTGTGGAATGTCTTTGGCATGTATTTATTACTTTACTGTCTTACTTTCTTCAAGCCAAGGGCCACATTTTCCTTGATTTTCTGATTTTCCCTTTGATGCCCAGCTTGAAGCAACACCATCTTCCCTTACTGTGCAAAAGTTCTGCTTTTTCCTGTTGATCTGCTCATCCTCCTTGGTGGTGCATTCTTGCTTGTATCCCACCCAGCCTGTGGATTCTTTCCTGCCATGCAAAACTAGCTCATTGTCAGTGCTGTCTGTGAAGCCTGTCTCTCCTGTCCTGTCATCTCTTCTGTAAACATGTTTTGTTATTGTTGTTTCTTCAGTAAAATAGCCTTGACCTAAATGGACTAGGGTGAGAATGGGGTTTCATAATCGACAAAATGACAGGTAGCTGATTTTCTGAGTGAGGCAGTACACAGTCTTAAGACTGTCCGTTGTATCGGGACACCAGTACTTAGGAGCGGTGGCCACTTGTAGTAAGCACCATTTATTGGGTTGGGCCATGAGTTGTAGTTCTCCCATTTATTAGCTGGAACTAATTGCCTAGCCCTCCTGATTTCTCTGTCCTCGGGTTTTAACAGGACCAGGAGTGCCTGTGTGACAGTTGAGAGGACTGAGACAGTTCACAGGAGTACTTATTGTGACTATAGTGGGGTCTGAAGATGTGCTTCCTTTAAAATGGATGGCGATTGAAACTTCACATTTAGCTGAAAGTCTGGATTAGTAGTGTAAATTCCTGGTATAAAGAAAAGAGATACGTGTTTAGGATAACTTTATATCTGAATATAATCAGCCATTATACAGAAATAGTTCCATGGAAAGCAGAACTAGGAGGAGAGAGGGCAGGAGTCTGCCTTCTGCAGTCCCTGTACTGCTGGCCTAGCAGATCCATTCATCTATCAAAAAGGAGTGGAAACTGCAGGAAAGATGGCAGGTGTGTCAGGTTGTACAAGTAGAGGACTGGATATCATGACTTAAGCACTAAATTAGGAATGCTATGCCGGGTGGGTATAGGGTGCAAAGGTAAAGGGTAAGCAGGTGTCTTTAAAAAGAAGCCTGAGGGCTAGGGATTTAGTTCAGTCATCATGTGCCTCCACAGCACGACTCCCCAACACCACCAACTAAGTAAATAAAAGTCTGGTGCTACTAGAGCCTCTACCCTAATTTGTAGCTGCAGAAGTTAATGATCACACACACACACACACACACACACACACACACACAGTGTTGGTCTGCTGTATCAGTGATCATGCCTTGCTGAAGGGTTCCACTAGTCCACCCTCTGTAGAATCATCTCATTGTAGAAGCATAGCTTGAAATGTTCTAGAAGTCCTCAGATTTGAATTCCTGGATCCATAGCTAATAAATGCATGATCATCCTTGGTTGGGGAGCTGTGATCCAGCCTCGTGGATAAATGTACAAGATAAATATCTTCAGCCTTGCATTTTGCTTTGAACCTGAAACCAGGATTAGCTGACCCTAGGGGCTATTTTAAGGAATTGTCTTTATGTGTTCCTTTTATCTTGATGTTTGCCACTAAAGTGTTGTGAAAATTCTGTTCCTGTCTGTCATTGATATAAAAGATCTGACACTCCACTTGTGATCTCTGAAACCCCTAGAGACCTCATTAAGTTAGCACTCTTATCTGCATGGATCAGCATGAACAAATCTCAGTTTCTCTGTCACCGCCCTTCATCTCTTTCTGCCTTGCTCAGGTTATGTAATACTTGTGCTTAGATAATAATCTTGAGTTTGAGATTTATTTCAGTACAAGAAGTTTGTAACATATGCATATTCGGATTGCAGCTTGAGTTTTCAGAGAAGATCCTTATAAACCCCGAGAGTCTTCCCTAGGAACTCTGCTTCCCCAACTCTCTCTTTTCCAAAGAGAAGTCTGCTTGCCATTCCTGGCCCGTTGCTTTGAGGATAGTTGAGAAGAGCAGTGACCTAATTCCTGAGTTGTAGCCTTAATGGGTCCCAGAAGACCATGGTTCTACCTTCTCTTAAATCTTCACAGCATTCCTATTTGACTCAAAATGTAGAAGGCTTAGAGCTGCGATTAGTCCCACGTTTCAGGACTGTGAGCCCCACATACATTGTTAATTTGACCTTGAAGTGCTGTTTTTTGGGGAAATTGATTGGAAAAAAGGTCGTGTGATTTACCTCTTCATCACCTTCTAATTCATTGGCGCATCACTGGGTACTTTGAGGATCCAAATGATCAGCACTATGGTAAGAAGTATAGGTGAGTGTGCCCTGAGACCATTGCCCCTGCTCTTAGCAACCGGTTCATACAGAGCTATGCTTTAAACAAAACAAAAAAATTCTTCCAAACTGTCAAATGACTTAATTTTGCTGAAACAATAACTGACCCACCTCTTTTTCCGGCAGCGCCCCATCATATCCATCTGTTGGGGCCATCGTGACTCCCGGCTGCTTATGGCCTCAGGACCAGCTCTGTACGTGGTTCGTGTAGAACACCGAGTGTCCAGCCTCCAGCTGCTGTGCCAGCAGGCCATTGCCAGCACCCTTCGAGAAGATAAGGATGTCAGCAAGCTGACCTTGCCCCCTCGACTCTGTTCCTACCTATCCACTGCCTTCATTCCCACCATCAAGGTAGAGTCTTCCCACCCTTTCCCTTCTTCCTTCCTCCTAGCCTTTCTACCAGAGACTGGAGAGCTACTGCAGGTAGCAGAGGTGGCACAGAGGCTTCTCTGTTTCCCCATGAGATTGCCTGGGGCTGGCTGCATTCACTTTGCAGAAACCAGCATGTCCTTATTTTGTCTGCAGCCTGCTTGGCTGGCCTTCCTGTTAGTGTCCCCATGAGGTTTGCTTTATGTGACTGGCTTCCTTTCTCATGGCCAGCTTGATTAGTATGTCATCCTGATGATCAAAGGAGCAGTTTACTTAGTACCTGACAGTATACCAAGTACTTCATGAAGACCTGTTTTGTTTAGTCTTGACTTCCCACAGACTAACATCATTGTTTCCACTTGATAAATCAGGAAACAAATTCATATCAGGGAAGTAGCTTGTTACGTAGCTAGTTATGAGACTAGTCAGGATTGGTCTCAGACCAGTTCTCAGGCTTGTGTTCCTCCCACATACTGCCGCTCCCAGCCATCTCCTATACAGACTACCACCCAGAAAATACCCCTGTAGAGGCAGCATGTGAAGTAGATCTGCCAGTCTCTGTTCACATGAAGCTTTCTGTGACTATACCTTTATACCCTAGGACCTTTCCATATTCTGTCTCTAGGTAGACTTACTGATCACTCTTCTCCTAGTGAACCAGAGTTTTAGAGTCTCGTGGTTCTCTTATCTAAATTACCTTACAATATCGATAGTATATCAGCAGTTCTCAACTCTTGTGTATTAAATCAGAAAAATAGATGTCCATGCTGTCACAGGTTGTTGCAGTTCATTGTCCAACATGGGACTCCGGCTTATTTATTGTTTAGAAGCCTCACAGTTCTGAATCACCATTATACAGCAGAGAGTTGACCTCTGCATGGCCTCTACTCTGCAAGAGTAGCTGTGACAGAAGCCAGTAGTCTGCTCTGTACTTTCTGGAATCCCAGATCTGCTTTTTCCTCCTCTGTCTTGCCTCTAGCCCCCAATTCCAGACCCCAACAATATGCGAGACTTTGTCAGCTACCCCTCAGCTGGCAATGAGCGGCTGCACTGTACCATGAAGCGTACAGAAGATGACCCAGAGGTCGGTGGGCCTTGCTACACACTCTACCTTGAATACCTGGGAGGGCTCGTGCCCATTCTCAAAGGGAGGCGCATCAGCAAGCTGCGGCCAGAGTTTGTCATCATGGACCCTCGGACAGACAGCAAATCAGGTGGGTCCCTTGCTGCAGGGACTGCAGCCCTTCTTTTGTGGTGTGGAATATCACACTCTTAGAGCCATGCACTGAGAATACCTGTTTCTGAGAAATGCTCTCATGCTGGCTGGTGTGAACATTCTCATAGCTGCTCCATTTCCTGATTCCCACCTAAGTGGACAGTTGTCTAAATGCCCTTGTTGGAAGGTTTTCACAGCATTCCATGGGTATCAGGGAGAACAAGAGTCTACTCCCGTGCCAAGGAAAGCTGCTGGTGTAGTCCTCTAGCACTGAGTGTAGACCCTCTCACAGTCACTGGGTGAAGTGTCCATTGAGTACCTTAGTGGAGTACTGGGGAAATAGAAACATTAAGTCTCTGCCTGCCTTCCCAGAAGGGTGTCAGAATCCAGCTTTTCAAACCTTCAATCCACCTCAGCCCTATGCTTTTGCCTCTGTTGCACTGTTTTGCTTTCAGTTAGGTTCTAGTGAAAGTTTCTTTCTGATCCATTAGTTCCAGAATGAAACAACATTCTGTTCTTGTAGAAGTCCCCTTGGGCAACAGTGCTTAGACATGCTAAAGGGGCCTCTCTTCAGGATCCCAGGCTAAGACCCCCACAGGAAGGGACTGTGGGGCTTTGTGCCAATTAGTTGCCAGCCAAATGTCCATACACCTGCTAGCTTACAGATTCTGCCTCCTCCCTGTGAACACAGCCACAGAACGCATAGCACTGACCTCGGTGTCCATCTCTTGTCAGTGTTCTGCTTGGCACACTGCAGTCATCATTCCCAGGATCCTGCTTGCCCTGGAGGAGGGAACGGGTCATCTTTATATTCCAAAGTGCCAGGCCTTGAGACAAGATTGTTTACATTGATTGGATTTGTTTCATTAGTTAATATTCACCACTTGCTAGTGCCATTTCACTGTTCCAGTTGTGTCTCTGAAGCAAGGTCTTTCTAATTCCTAAAGCAAGTGGTCTTCTTCACCCTAAGCCTCCCTTGGCACTGCCAGTATTTACAACCGTGTTGGTTGGACATTATCACAGCATCCATGGCAGCGTTTTTTACTAGTGTTCCCATATAAAATCAAAAGTCAAAAAAATAATAAAGTTTGCAAAGGCATTTGTTCATCATTAGTCCTGACTTCGGACTTGCATGGTCAACTGGTACCAACAGAAGAGGGAACAGGTAGAAGAACTGAGGGCATGCAGTCAGAAAGTACAGGAAGGGAAAGCTGCACAAGTGGCTTCGGGAGGATAGTGGACTGATGGAGGGCGCAGGGAGGGGCCAGGAACCTCAGAGCCTGCGTCCCTCTCACTCTGCATTTCTCGCCCAGGGACCTTCACGAGGCACAGCTCTAAGAACTCAGGCTGAGACTGAATATTAAGGTCTCTTGAGTGAAGGGCTTGTTTTTCTCCCCCATGTGTCTGGATTCCTCTGCAGAAGGGTCTGCAGTCTCCCAAGACCAGACTTACTTGCATCCTGGCTGATTTTCTTTCATGTTCATACTGCCAGCTCAATCCAAATACAGAGTGCTCAGTTGCTAACACTTCTTTGAGAAATGAGAAATGAAGTATTTTATCTTATATTTTTTTTTCCAAGACAGGGCTTCTCTGTATAGCTTTGGTGCCTATCTTGGAACTCACTCCGTAGACCAAGCTGGCCTCCAACTCACAGAGATCCACCTGCCTCTGCCTCCTGAGTGCTGGGGTTAAAAGCATGCTCCACCACCGCCCGGCCTTATCTTAATAATTTCATAATTAAAAGTTATAAAGTAAATAATACAACACCAAGTCAGTGCCCACTTTATATGATACTTGAGTCCCTGTGAACCCTCCTAGAGCACAAGACAATTTAAGCACTTGAAAAGTTCATCAGATTCAAACACCTCATGACAGAAATAGAAGCTGTGTCACAAGGCACAGTATGACTAATTGGCAAATAAATGGTATATATAAAGTAGCTCAGAGGATGGAGGTGATTTGTAACTTTGAAAAGCCAGGACTGTCTCATTACAAGAAGCTAGTTAACCCTTCCTAGACTGCACAGCGTTATTTCTCAAGATATGGCCCTTGGGCCATCTGATAGGTATATTTAACTGTGAGTTCTGAACTCACTCTTATAATAACTGTTGAAGTCTGCTGTGGGACCTGGGTTCCTTGGGAGGTTTTGTTTTGTTTTGTTTTTTTGAGACAGGGTTTCTTTGTAGCTTTGGAGCCTGTCCTGGAACTAGTTCTCTTAGACCAGGCTGGCATCAAACTCACAGACATTTGCTTGCCTCCTGAGTCCTGGGATTAAATTGTGTCCTCATAAGAAGAGGGTGGGAGTACCAGGAAATAACTCAGGAAGTGAGGATGCCTGCCTCCAAGCCTGACAACTTGAGTGTGATCTTTTGGAACACTACGCTGTAGAAAAAAAGAACTGACTCCCTCCCATTTTCCTCTGACCTCCACGGGCACACCATGACATACACATGCCCTCACACATACACATAAAATAATATAATTTTTAGAATTAAAAAGGGGATAGAGCAGTTTTTCTAAACACACACACTATGGAAAGGAACTCTGAACACTAAGAGTCTGGCTACAATCTACAAGCCTGAAAAAACTTACCTCAGACACCAGCTGTGGTGACATCTTCATCCTGGAGCGTCTAAGCCTCCATAATGGTCTAAACCAATTTCTGGTGGAAAGATTCTTGATGAGTAAATTCTGAAACTGAGGTGGGTATGTCTGCTACTGCAAAAAAATACACAGAGAATGGAAATGGAGATGTTCAAGTACTGGGTAAATAAGCATGTCGTTGAAAGCTAGAGAAAAAGCTTTTACAGAATGCAAGGAATTTGGCCGGAGTTTGCCCTATGTTGTGTGGAAGGGGTACTTTGATACGATGATATTTTACTGAGGACAGTTGTCATCAGATGGTTGAAGAAGTGACCTGTTTCCTCTGGACTGTTGATAGTAGTGGACTAAAGGAATGAGGTCACCTCAGAAAGTCATTTTTAACCCTTTGGGATCAAGAATTTGAAGATTTTTAAAAAATTCCCACCCTTTTCGTATTGCGAGAAATAAGAAAACACATTTGGAAGAGAAAGCTAGAGCCATGGCAGGGCTGTCATTTCCTGTGAATGAAGAAGTTTATAAAAGCGGAGAGGCACTGCCAATCTGAGCTAAAGGGACGTTGACGAATGAAATGGGGATTCACCAGTCAAGATAGTTAGCAGTATTGGCTTGTGGTTTACCCTGCCTTCAAAAGTCAGAAATGCTCTCAGAGGTGATTCAGAGACCAGCAGGGCTGCTTCTTTGATGTCAACAGATTCCACCTGCACCTTAGTGAGAGTCTAGAGGACAGCATCCACACCTGCAACTGTCAGGATGATGCTGAACTCCAAGGGGGCCTTAGTAAAGGATACCAAACTAAGAGGATTACTCTCAATGCTTGAAATCTAACATAAAACCCCAGCACTAGGCTTGGGCACCTCCCTTCAAGTAGTCTGGATGGGGTTCTGAGAGACTCCCCAGTTGCTGCTGTTCTTGTTTTCCTGCCAGAACTTAAGGGCAAGACTGTATTGCTGAAGACACTACACACTTCAGTAACAGGACTTACAGAACTCAAGCTGGTGCTGATTTGCAAACATTGTCCCTGATGGCCATTGTACATGGTGTTAGGTGCTGTGCAAGCAACCAAGGGTGGCTGTAAATCCTGCAATTAACAGTAACAACTGGCCCCTCAAGATATGCCAACACATGGCACTAATGTCTTGGAGGTAACCAATAGGTGCCTGATTGGACTTGAGGCTTGCTCAGGAGGAAGAAACACAGCTTTGATATTGTAAACTTCACCAGGAACCTGAGGCTGGCGAGGTGATAGACCTTAGAGGAGAATTCACTACTGTTGTTTGGTTGAATTTATACAGTATTCAACTGCCTTCTAAATGTTTATGCTTAGACTCACAGCATATTCAGCTCTCACTCCTCCTCAGAGAAGTTTATTTTTGCAGTGATTGGAGATATAAGAGAACAACAGCTCGTCAGCATGTAAAGAATAAGTGGCTGTGGGGTGGTAGTATCCCTAGTGTTTCTACTGCTGTGGTAAAAGACCATGACTGAAAGCACCTTTGCGAGTGTGGTGGTTTGAATGAGAATGGCCCCATAGGTTTGGAACTGTTTGTGAAGGGTTAAGCCGTTAGGACCTTGTTGAAGGAGGTGTGCCACTGGGCATGTCTCTTTCTGTCTCTCTCCTCACTTGCTGCCTTTGAATACAGATGTAGAGTTCTCGGCTACTGCTCCAGTACCATGCCTGCCTGCCACCATGCTCCCCACTATGACGGTGATGGGTTAACCCTCTGAAACTATAAGCAAGCCTCCAATTAAGCCCCTTCCTTTATAAGTTGCTTCAGTCATGGTGTTTCTTTCCAGCAATAAAATAGTTTACTAAGAAGAGAGGAAAGGGTTCATTTCAGCTTACATGTCCCCACACAGTCCATTATGAAGGGAAATTGGGGAAGACACCTAGAGGCAGGGACTGAGGCAGAGGCCACAGAGGAGTGCTGTTTTCTGGCTTGCTTTCCATGGCTTGTTCATCTGGCTTTCTTAAACAACTCAAATACCAGAACTTTCTATGGGATGGGATGGGATGGGAGCCCACCTCTATCAGTCATTAATCAGAAAAGTGTACTACAGGCTTGCTGCAAGCAGTCTGATAGACAGCTAAGATTCATTCTTCCCAGGATTGTGTCAAGTTCACAGAGACCAACCAGCACAGTGCCTATCCCTCTGTACATCTATAAACAACTTCTATTCCAGGACTTAGAGAACATTGTGGAAGAGGGGACAGAAAAATCTAGGAGTCACCGAACTCTCCTGTCTACCATACAAATCAACATGTTTGTATGGACGGTGACGGTTCAAAAGGCTGCATCCTGAGTTAAGGAGCTAAAGGCAGTTGACAACTTCTACAGGAGAGAACATCCATTGTCTTTTTAAAATTTTGTTTAAATTTATTTATTGTATGTGTATGAGTGTTTTACCTGTATGTATGCATGTGAACCATGTGGGTGCCTAGTGCCCATAGAGGTCAGAAAAGTGGTTGGATCACCTAGAACTAAAGTTGTGGATAATTTCAAACTACAGTGTGGGTGGTGGGAATTAAACCTAAGTCCTCAGCAATAGCAAAAGTGCTCTTAGCCATTGAACGAACTTTCTAGGCCCGTGTTTGTGTTTTCAGGGGTGAGCTGCTTGGTAGATTGCCCATGTTCAAGAGGCAAGTCTGCACCCACATGTTTATGGACAGCTCTAACTGGATGTAGGGATATATGTGTGTGTGTGTGCGCACACATACATACCCAGGGAAAGGGTGTGGTGTGTGTGTGTGCGCATGAATTTGAGATTAGGACCAGTAGAAGTTGGAGGGAATGAAGAATTTATATTATCAAAATGCATTATACTCACATGAAATTCTGAAGGGAAAAGGAGAGCTTCAATCCATAGATTGGAAAGACTGAAGAGCTGATATACTGAGGCATTACGAAAATATTAAGAACTAAAACTGGACTTTGGTATTTTCCTGATACTAATACTCTTAGCTTTCAGTAAAAGGGTTCAGTTTTCATCAGCAGCCAATGGTGAGGCACTGTGAACACCTCCTTGAGAAATACTGAATTAAAATGGCAAAGAAACTCTTGGTCTGGCTTTGATAAAAAAATAATACTATATAAAATTGATTATTCAGCTTTTAAAGTTAGTTTTTATTAATTCTGTATTTTGTAGAACTGTAGAAGGAGCTGTAGGCTGCGTTCCTGCAGCACAGCTCCTGGCCGCCTGGCTAGCTTATGCCCCGAAATAACAACACGCAAACTGTATTCATTTAAACACTGCTTGGCCCATTATATCTAGCCTCTTCTTGCCTAACTCTCATATCTTGCTTAACCCATATCTAATAATCTGTGTAGCACCACGAGCTGGTGGCTTACTGGAAAGGATTCTAGTGTACGTCCATCTTGGGCTGTAGCTTCATCGCATCTGCCCTGGAGAGGAGCGGCATGGCGTCTGGCTCACTTCTCTTCTTCCCAGCATTCTATTCTGTCTACTCCATCCACCTATGTTCTGACCTATCAGGCCAAGCAGTTTCTTTATTAATTAACCAATGACCTTCCCACATCATAGAACCATAGTTTTTATTGTGATCCTTTCCTACGCGGATATCATTTTATTTTTGTAAGGTTTGCCCCCAAAGTCTTTACACTTTAAATGTACTTATTTAACTATTTTTAATAATCAACAGGTAGAGTAAGCACTAATGCCATTTTTTGAGCTGTTGTGGATATTATTAATGAAGAGGACTGCCTTCTTGCTACACTTACACAGCCTTTCCTCAGAGTGCCCACATTGAGGCATCTCTTCTTATTCTAAATTCACCAGTCCCAATCCTGTGTGGTTAGGACTCCAGCCTTAAGACCTTATTAAACCTTAATTATCCCTTAAAAATCTTGCCTCCAAATAAAGATGCATGGCAAGTAGAACTTTGAGGGGACACAATTCAGATTCATGACATTCTTCACATGGGCTGTTCAAAATTTATGTATCTGCCCATGCAAAACCCAGTGGAAAGCCTTCAAGTTATTTCTGCACCAACTCTGAAGTCCAGTGCCTTATCTAAATGTCAAGTAAATCAAAAGTGGGTGTGACTACGAAACCAGACAAATTATGTTTGATCAGTAGGTGACAAGTAGGACTACCGTATGGTAGACAATCTTACCAATTGGAAAACGAGGAAGTAAGAGGTGTGGGAGCCCAACAAAGCAGATTCCCATTTGTTGGAGGTAATTCCAATTAAATTATATATAGATATATAGAAAGCTTAGAAAATAGTAGGTTTCCTTGTGGTTTTTTAAAATATCCCTGGTCTTGTTTGTCCCCTCCCCCTCATTTTCCCTCTTTTTTACCCTCTCATCTGAAAATCCCCCTCCCCAGTTAAGTCTTCCCCCTTCTTTAAAATAAGTTTTGGAGAAGATTCTTTTGGAGGGTACATATGTGTGCTCATGCATGTGAAAAGCAGAAGTGTCCTTCAGGAGCCATCTATCCACCCTGGCTTTGGAGACTACCTTCTCTCACTGAAATCTGATGCTTGCCAATTAGATCAAATTGTCTGGCTACTGAACCCCAGGGATCATCCTGTCTCTACCTTCCCAGGGCTGGGATTGCACACACATAGCACACCTTGCCTCTTACTTGGGTGCTAGGGGTCAAACTTAGGTCCTCATGTTTGCAGCCTAGCACTTTACTGACTGGCCTGTCTGTCTGCCCAGACACCTAATTCAGGTTGCATATTTTGGTTGTCTTTGATTTCTCAAAGACCAACTCCAGTTCACATTTCTCCACACCTTGGATGTTTGTGTCACAGCTTACATGATGAATTAATGCTACAGAATTTCTGGAAACATGTGGTTTAACCTTATTTATCTTTTCTGTAAGCTTCACCAAATCCCATAGCAGGCATGACAGTCAGCTTTTATTCCTGTGTGGCTTACCTACTAGCTGGGGAGATACAGTTGAAAAGTAGTTATGAGCAAAAGAGAAATAAAATTAGGGACAGAAACTCTAACAGGGAGAGGAATATGGGTGAGTGATGTGTGACTTATTTCCCTAAGTGTAAGTGTAGTTCACACACACACAGCCATTCCCTGAACCTGCCTCTGGTTGGAGTCATGGCTAAGCATCCTTTGGTCCAGTGACTAGTACATTAAATCATAGAAAGCACTGTTCATTGTGTATGGTCTAGACCTTTTCATGTGGTCAGGTTCTGACACAGCCCTGTGGCTTGCTAGATACAAGGTATGTGCCCCTGCTTTGGTAAATAGCTTTAAAATGGGGTTACAGGTGACATGGACAGGGCACCGATGTCTTTTTTTAGTTACAGGCAAAACTCTTTCTGTTACAGAGAGGCTCGCCCCTGCTCACCTGTTACCCCTCTACTCAGAAACTCAGTGATAAGCTTGAGTTAACAAACTCATCCTTTGAAATGTCAGCATCTGTCTTAAATGTTGGCATCACGTCATTTCCTCTGAATTATTTCATTATTTTTGAATGTTGCAATTTGATTACTTGCTGAGGCTCTTCGGAGCATGAAATTTTGTCAGCACAACAAATTTTGAAGAATGGGTACTAACGTTAAAGGAGGTATAAAGTGAAACTGGGAATTGGGTGGCAAATAGAAATTTGAGAATGTGGGGTGGTGGGATGAGCAAGAGACTTCTGGTGGAGGGGCGTCTACTCGCTTGGCCCGCTCTGCCTTCTGTCTTACCCTCTGCTTTGGGCCTCTAATATTCCTTCTGCTGGCCAACTAGCAAGGCTACCAGCAGTGGATTCCATATGAAATATCCATAGAGCAAGTTCTCACTGCCCAGAGTCTCCCTTTCAATTCTCTGACAAGGTCAGCTGTACTACCTGGAATCTTCAGGCCCTAGATAGCCTATGGCAGTTTCAGAATTATTCTAGACAGATCTTCCCAGAGACCTTGCCATGAACTCAACTCAGCAAGATGGTAGTTCCTGCAGCCCTGGATTGGTCAGGCCTTCCCAGGTCAGACGCAGGTTCCAGTAAGTCTGTGGCCAAGCCCTCAACCTAGTTTTCTAGTCTAGTTGAAAGTTGGCACAAGCCTAAGTAGGTAGTCACCTCAGTGTTCTGAGGCTCAATTGTAAATTTTTTATTTTTAGTTTTTGACATAAAGAACAGTTTTGTATATTTCTGGGACACTAAAATATCACCCATTTTTAACAACAGTTGTAGAAATTGTCTACTTCTGCTCAGAAAAGAGCATAAAAATGTATAAGGAAAAAGACTGTTTTCTTTCTATTTCACCCTCTGTAATAATGATGAAGCCAATAAAGTCAGCCTATCCTATGTAGCAGTAACAGCTGCTTACACCTGATAATTGGTTTCTTACAGATGAGATCTATGGAAACAGCTTGATTTCTACTGTGATTGACAGCTGCAACTGCTCGGACTCCAGTGACATTGAACTGAGTGATGATTGGGCTGCCAAGAAGTCTCCCAAAATTTCCAGAGCTAGCAAATCGCCCAAACTTCCAAGGTAACAAACAGTATGCATCTCTTTGTTATGCCTCCAATGTGGCATGACTTGGTGGTTCCATTGAAACTGATTGTAATAAGCATTCTGAAGTCTCTTAGGTCTAGACTGATGCACAATTCTAGAACCTTTTCTGTCGAAATGAACCTGACTATGTTGAGAAGAGGAAGGGAAAGGAAGTTCACACTTGCCCAGCAGCAAGATCAACTTCGCTTTTGTGTTCTCATCCCTCTTCATTCTGTACGATTCTGTCTGGAATAATTACAGCTTTCCTTCCTTCCTGCCCACCTTTCTCCTCCGGGATAGGAAGGACGTATGCTAAGGCCTCAAGACTTTACTAGGTCTTCCTAGGTCACTGAGGGTAGGTGACTTAGAACAGCCTTTGCTTCCCAGGTTGTTTTCCCTTCCTGTTTCACAAAACAATGTTTTGTAGTAAACATGTTGTATTGAAGAGAATGCCAGGTTCTGTGTCTGTAACGCTGTCTGAAAGCAGAAGAGCTGGTGTCACCATCTGGAAGAGCATCATCTTCTTCCTCTTGCTGTCATGGCTATGTGACTGGACAGACAACACTTTGCTGTGGGTGGTAGTGGACAGACTCTTGCTTGTTTACAGTTCTGAGACAGCATGCAGCCTCAGAGTGTGATTAGCATACTACCCTACACATAGCCAGATGCCCATCTTTTAAACAGCTGGTTCACTGGGCAATTGATCACCGGTGTGTCCCCACCAGTTCAAGATAAAGGACATGCCCAATCATCCTGAAAGGTTTTTTGTGTTTCTTGCATTCAGTATGATTTCTGTTGCTATAGTTTTTTTTTTTTACTGTTGAATTTAATATGAATATAGGTACTATTTATTTAGCGTTTTTTTCCCCCTCAGCACAGTATCATGGATATCAGTTGTTAGCTTTTTTTTATTTTAAATCACATTGTAGGATTATTCTACTATAACAACATGCCACTTTACCAATCGATGGATATTTGATAGTCCCTAATCTGGGACTGTGATGAATAAATCCATTATAAACATTTTTGTGCAAATCTTTTGGGAGATATGCACTCATTTCTCTTGCATATATACTTAGGAAGGAGTTACAGGGTCATGAGTTAAATACATTTTAAACCTCAGTGGAAACTGCCAAGTAGCATTACAAGGTGAGTGTATCAAATTAAATTTCTGCATCAGTGTTTAAGAATTCCAGCAGTTCCTGATCTCACTTCTGGCTCTGTTGTCACTTTAGGAAAGTTTTATCCATTCTGGTGGATGAGTAGTGGTGCTGACCTCCGAGTTTAACTATGGTATCTCTAGGGAATGATGATGCTGAGCTGAGCACTTACCCTGTGGGTGTCAGCTGCCTTTTTGGTGAAGTGTCTGATTGGATTTTTCCTTAATTTTTTATTGGATTTTTTATTGAGTTGTAACATGGAGAGGACTCCATGTCAGATACACATTTTGCTAGATAGTCCAGTATATGAGGTTCACTTGTAGTCAGTGTTGCTCTTAAGAAATCTTTGTCCATCCTAAGACCATGAGCCTCCTTCCTGTAGCTTTAAAATTAAGAGTTTTCACACTAAATCTCAGATCTGCCTTATAGCCAAGCTAACATTTGAATATGACATGAATGAAGAGAAAACAATTATTTTTACTATCCAGATTCCCCAGTAATGTGATTCATTGATTTTTTTTTCTTCATCTAAAGTTTGTTTAAACTGCATGTAAAATTATGAACTTGTAGTATTGTGTTTGGCTTTTTCCACTTCCTAAGCAGAGAGATCATTTGCCATACATCTTGTCTATAAATATCTTTGTGACGGGTTTTTCCTTTTGTTGTTCTCTTCTCCCTGGAGGTCCTTCTGCACAGCAGATAAGCTGATAGTCTTAGCATGCTACTCCACCCCTCATCTTCCCATCTCTCTGGAGCCTGAAGTATCTTACCTAATTTGAAAACAGTGTATTTCTGGTGCTTCATGTGCCTTCCTCACAGGACATGATAACCTCACCAGAGTTGTTCCATAGCTCCATCTCTTGAGTAGACTGGGGTTAAACACCTGTGTCTTTACATTGTGGACAAAGGAGTAGAGAGAGAACATGGAATCAGAGGCAATAGAGAAACTTTGGATTCAGTTATTTGACTTAAATATTATAGGTGTCAGTGTTAAATAATCTGCTAAAATTCAAGCTGACATACAAGGAATTTTATAACTCGCAGTGATCATAGGATGAAAAACAGTCTTCCTCCTGCCATTTTCCCGGGGCTGATTCTGCAGACCTGTGGCAGAAGGCATGTGGACCTCTAAACATACTGTAAGTCAATAAGCTAGTGAATGTTCACTCTCTAGGCTCTTACAGATGAATCACTTAGTCTGATCTCTGTATATATTACTTAGTATTTAGTTGGCATTCTTTCCTAAATCAAAACCAAGAGTGCTTTGGAAATTAGGGCCTTGAGCATTGAGAGCCAACATCAACAGCTGAGTATCAAGAGAAAGAAGAGTTCTAGATTAAGATGCATCCCTCTGTGCCTGTCTCACTCTTCTGGCCTTGTTTCCACAGGATCAGCATTGAGGCCCGCAAGTCACCCAAGCTGCCCCGGGCTGCTCAAGAGATTTCTCGGTCTCCCCGATTGCCCATGCGCAAACCCTCCATGGGCTCACCCAGCCTGACTCGGCGAGAGTTTCCTTTTGAAGACATCAGTCAGGTAGAAGTGCATAGCTGACAGTGACACCTCCAACACTGTCTATAACTTAATCAGGCTACCTGGAAGCACCACTGTCCTTCCCAACTTGCCTGTCTTGCTCATTGCTACATCTGCATGCACACTGTGTGGCCCTGTTCCATGTACCTTTCTGTTATTGGACTCTTCCTCCTGGGTAACTCTGACTGAGATCCACTCCCTCTTCACTTCTGCCTCCTAGCCCTGCAGTAACACCTCAGTTGTAGGAAGAGAATGCTGGCCATAGTCTCACAGTCTGGCCTTGCCCGCCTTCTTCAACCTTTGTGCCCTGAGTCACCTCTCCGTCTCCTTATTTTACTCCCACTCAGTTTGTCCCTAAGTCAGTTTGTGCCTTCTCTGTGAAGGCTTCTGCTCTGGCCCAGCCAGCAGATGTGGTGTCTAACCCCCTTCTGATGGTCTTCAGACCCTTTGTATACAAACCAGGGATGGCCATATTATCCGTCCTTAGGTCATAAGTTCCTCCAAAAGCTGTCTTCTTCCCATCTGTATTTTACTTACACCCACCTTGAGCATAGCAGTGACTTTTTAAAATGTTCTTCATTTTAAATTGAATAATTGAGAGATTTAAGGACATAATTGTTTCAGTTCAACTGACATCTGCAGAATCTATCAATGATAAAAAAGGAGAAATGAACAAAATTATATTCCATCACTTTGGTGGTCTTTTTACCTTTAAAGTTTTATTTATTTTATTTTAGGTTATGTTTTCATTATTTTATATTAAGTTGTTATTAATCTCTGCTTTAATTAATTAATTTGTTTGTTTTAGCTATTGCTAGCAACCCAGACTGATCTGGAACTCAGTAGACACCTGTCTCAGCCTCCCAATTGCTGAGAATACAGTCCTCCATTCCTACTTTTATTTTCTTACTTTTTTTTTGAGATGAAGCCATGCTATTTTGTCCAGGCTGGCCTCAGATTTCTACGTCATCCTCCTCACTAGTTGGAACTACAGACATATATCACTATTCTGAACTTTGATGGCCTTTAAAAAATAATTTTTTTTTTAAAAACAGGGTCTCCTCTAGCCCAGGGTAACCTCAAACTTGTTGTGTAGGCAAGATGACCTTGAACTTCTGATCCTCTCAGCTTAACCTCACCATGGTGGGATCACAGGTTTATATGGCTAGGCCATGTTTGTGTAGTGGTGGAAATCAACCAAGGGCTTCATGCATTCTGGGTGGACCTACACCCCCAGCCCTTTAATAATTTTTATAAAGATATATTCATTTATATATTTATATGTGCTTGTATGCATTTATGTGCACCAGGTGCATACATGCACGCATTGAGGCCAGATCCCCTGGAATTGGAGTTAGAAGTGGTTGTGAGTCACCTGATGTGGGTGCTGGGAATGGAACCCCAGTCCTTTGCAAGAGCAGCACATGGTCTTAACTGCTGAACCGTCTCTCTAGCTGCTGATGACCCCTTCAAACTGAACACATGAACATGGTGGAACAGTGTGCACTCGCTCCCAGCGCAGTGGACCACCACTGGACATGGGAGCCCATTGTGCTGTAGTTAATCTCTCCTATTTCTGTCAGTGTCTGCTTACAGCACTTTTCGTGTTAGCACTCGGTGCTAAGTGAACAACAGACAATATGAAAACAGACTGAGATTCTTTCTTTTTTTCCCTCTTCTCCCCACAGCACAACTATCTTGCTCAGGTCACATCCAATATCTGGGGAACCAAATTTAAGATTGTGGGCTTGGCTGCGTTCCTGCCAACCAACCTTGGTGCAGGTAAAGACTCATTCCATTTTCTTACTGCCTTCTTCAGAAATCAATAAAACTTAGAGTTTCCGCCTGTGACCGCTTAGATTAGAAAATGAGCTCTTAAGACAGTCTAGGATTGTTGTGTCTGTCTCCTGACTCTAGCCACTGTGACGTCAGAAAAACAAACCTGTACTCATTGTTTCTTGTCCCTGACCCTTTCATTCTTTTTTTCCCCTATAAACTCTGTGTTATGAAACTAGTAAAAGTAGCTGAACTCTCCAGAAAAAGCACTGGAAGAGTTCTAAACACTCGGCCATTGTGAGCAGATTCAAGTTCCAGTGTCCAGGTTCTTGAATCACAGGAACTTCTAAAGAGAAGGGAAAGAGCATTGAAGACCAAGAAGTTAGCTGGCTGTGATGAATGTGGTTGTTAGCAGTATGTGTTTAGCATTCTTGTTTTCCTTATCTGATTAACATCAGAAGAAAACTGTGAAGTGGAGGCTGGGCCCAGCCCAGGCTTAGGTCTTCATTAGTGCACCTACCTCACTGAGACTGGGAAGAAGTAGAAATGCTAGAAGAGCCTTTCCCTGCCAGCTTCCTTCTGGGTCTTCAGATGCACAGTGCTGCTGCTGTCCCTGCCCCCTCCATTTTCTGGTTGCCTCTCTCAGTGAGGCCAGATAGGCCTTGGCCCTTAATCTTGTGTGTGTTCTCTGTACCCAAATGAGATTGTTCTTCAAGAATTCTGTCTACAGAAGTTGTATCTTAGGTAGACCTACAAAATAAATTATTCTTGAAAACCAAACATTAAAAATCCATTTAGGATGAAGTGTAGCGGTAGCACTCTTGCCTAGCATACTTGAGGCTCTAGGTGTGATCGCTCACACCATCACACTCACCCCAGATCCAAAGAATAACTGCCGCTGTATGTGCCTACAGATGTTTTTATTAAAACAGCACTTGCTTAGAGTTTTCATTTTGAAGTTTTTATTTCAAATAAAATTAAAGCAAAGGACATAAAATTGAATTGGATTTAGTTCTAAGACTCACAAAAAATAGTAAGGCTTGCTACATATAATATGATGAGGAAATGAAGTGGCAGTATGCACTTGGTTTGTGCAATAAATGTTAAGTTTTATCACATGAACAGTTTCCTTTTTGTTTACCCGTTCTCTTCCACAGTACAACTCTCTTGCCTACACAGGAAATTCCTCACAACATTTCAATGACCTGGAAACTCTGATGATCGCAGAAGTGTCCACCTCTGTCCTACCAACCTGTTTAACTATCATCCCCTCCACCTCAGTAAACTGGGAACGTGGGCTTCCTAAAATAAAGACCAGGAGAAAGAACTGGGATGGAAAGTTATTTATTTATTAAATTCTGCCCTTCTCCTGCGATAAGTAGATCCACAGCTAAGTCACTAAGATTGCTAAAACAGAGTAGTGGATGTCTTTGGGGCCCATGCTGTTCCACTGTGAGCTGGTAGAGTGTCAAGAGAAAAGCTTCACCTTTCTCCTAATCATTTACTCTTTTTTTTTTTTAATGTGCATTGGTGTTTTGCCTACCCATATGTGTGTGAGAGTGTCAGAGCCCTAAAAAATTGGAGTTACAAGCAACTATGGGTTGCCATGTGGGTGCTGGGAATTGAACCTGGGTCTAGAAGAGAAGCCAGTGCTCTTAACTGCTGAGCCAACTCTCCAGCCCATTAATCATTGGCTTTTTAAAAAAGATCATTTGGTCCATATGGTTGCTATTGTTTATATTAGAGAAGTCAACTTTTGGATTCAAGAAAGTCTACTCTTCATGTCACGTTGTTAATCTTTTCAAATATAACATATAATGTGCTAATGGGCTTAGGAAGTGAGTATTTCTTATGTTTAATAATATTTTTCCTTCAATTAGAACAGACTTAGCCCATGAAGAGAGGGAGAGACACAGAGAGATAGAGAGATGGGGGAGAGAGAGCGCGTGCGCAATATAAAGATTTATTGAGGAAGAGGACTGCAAGAGGGTCTGGCTTAGTCCTTATTAGCCTCTTTCTTTATGGCAGCCAGTTTGTTACTGAACTCTCTGCTTCCTCCCGGTCCCACCCCTCCACCACCATCCTCCCCTTCCTCCCCTCTTACGGTTTAGTCTTCCACCCCCTTGTTGAACTTACATCCTCTGCTGATGGTCCCAGAAGCTCATTGCTGTGCCTGGCCCTGCTCACATTTGTTGTCACCTCTAGACCTATGAGGCCTATGACCATGAGGTACACAGAGCCATGCTGAGACCAACCCTGAAATTTTTTGAATTTTTAACATCGCTTAAGAGCTGTATAAAAGCTATATTAAAGGGGACATACAGTAAAAAGGTATTCATAAGTTGGGGCTGGAGAGATAGCTCAGCAGTTAAGAGCACTGGCAGTTCTTCCAGAAGTCCTGAGTTCACTTCCCAACAACCACATGGTGAATCACAACCGTCTGCAATGAGACCTTGTTCCCTCTTCTGGCCTGCAGGCATGCATGGAGGCAGAACACTGTATACATAGTAAATAAATAAAATCTTTTTTAAAAAAATGATCAAGTCTCCCATCATTACTATAGTCTACCTAGGTTTTCTCCCCTGGAGGCAAGTAATGTTTGTAATCATTCCTCAATTTAAAAAAATGTTCTTCTTGTTTTTTTTTTTGTTGTTGTTGTTGTTTTTTATTTTCGAGACAAGGTTTCTCTGTGTTAATAGCTCTGGCTGTCCTAGAACTAGCTCTGTAGACCAGGCTGGCCTCAAACTCACAGAGATCCGCCTGCCTCTGCCTTCAGAATGCTAAGATTAAAAGTGCGCCACCCACACACACACACAATAGTTAAAAAAGATTCAGTTCTAACCGGAGGAAAAAGACTATCTAGATCATTCCAGGCAGTCCCTGCACTGCAGAACTCAGATATATGTTTAGGTTCACATTTCTCACATCAAGCACGTGTCAGCTTGGAGCACAGAACTTATCTATACGGACTTGAAGAAGGTTGAATGACATCTCCAACTGCATTGACAATTAAGTATCCTGCACAACTGAGTATTTCTCTCACACCGTACATTTGTTATGACCTTTTGTGATTTGATATTTTATTATTTAGGATGCTTAGAATTTCACTTGGTATATCCCCTGAGTGACAGTGCTAATCTTAGTTTTGAAGATGTTACATATGAGGATGACACTATGCCCCTTCAGTAATTGTTATTATCATGACCGTTAGCTTACCTGGGACCCCTACCTCATTTGAACTCAGTTGTCCAGCTGCAGAGGCAAAGGGCAGGACTAAGTCCAGGGGATGAATGAGAGGACAGATGGCAGGTCCAGACAGGCAGAGGACATTCAAGAAGGCAGTGTCAACAGTGGAGAACAACTGAGCTGAAGCCCTCAGGACAGTTGAATTGTAGGTCAGTCTTTGATGTATACACTGGGAGATCAGCTGACAGGTCAGGAGGGTTATTACATCACCCTCATTGTGCTAGGTATTTACCTTTTGATGGGAGTTACACCGGTTTCCTTGGCCTGGTGTGTCCAATAAATTTTTTTTTTTAAAAAAGTGTGTGCCACCACTGCCCAGCTTTAAAAAAAATCTTTATTGATCTAATATAGAATAGCTCTTTTCACTAACTCAGAACAGTACAGAACTTTCCACCAAAATTCATAATTCTGTATTGTGAGCAAGAGTGAGGAGACGGAATGAAACTTCTCTGACGTTTGGATGGGAAAAGACACCTCCTGAGTTCCAGCCTCATACAGAGGGCTCAGCGAAAGCTGCTGCTTCTAGAGCAACACTGTTTTGTCAGGCCAGGCTAGTTAGGGGACAATGCGCAGAGAGAGGATGTGGCTGAATACATGTGTCTCTGTGTACAATTTCACAGGAAAGAGTTTTAAACATAAATGTTGAGCCAGTAGGGTTGCTCAGTGATTTAAGGCATTTGTGTAAAGGCTGGGCAACTTAAATTTAATCTCCAAACACTATGAGATGGTGGGACAGAACTAACCTCTACACATGTGTCATGGAACACATATATCTGTATGTATGTGCATACAGACAAACACACATACACAATTAATAAATATCTGACATAAGAGAGATGACAAAAGCTAACCTTGTTTTTACCTGCTTATGAAACTCAGATTCATCATTTTTAAATTAATTTTATCTTTTCTATTTCATTTGCAACTTAGGCTTTCTTGTAACTGTCTGTTTCTGGAAGTGCCTGTGAGTCCCTCTGCAGACCCCAAAGGTGACAGTGAGATAAGGTCTCAGTCTTGGCAGCAGCAGCTCTTTGTGCATCTGTGGTGTCTGGTCCCACGGACGGCAAATAGCTCCTGAGCTTGGCATTCTTTATGCATCTGTGGTACCCTGATCCCATGGACAGCAAATAGCTCCTGAGCTTGGCACTCTTGGCACTACTATTTCAACTAAATTATCCTTCTGGTTGCATATGAAGCTCTTAAAGATGTATGATCATTGTAAGAAATGGTTTAAGTCTGAGATATGTTTTTGGCATTTAAAATCTGTGGTTCTGTAGACTAAGAATTTGCCAATGCCACATGGTTCTGTATACATCATCATTAGAAGCTAAGAGCTCCACTTGCTCCTGGTCCAGCCTGTTTGATCTGCCTGCCAACAGAGGGATCCATGGCCCTCTCTTTTTCTCCCTCACACTGCTGACTCTTTGGCATGCCTTCATTAACTGTGCTCCTTTCTCCCCCCAGTAATCTATAAAACCAGCCTGCTGCATCTCCAGCCGCGGCAGATGACCATTTATCTCCCAGAAGTTAGGAAGATCTCCATGGACTATATTAATCTACCTGTCTTCAACCCAAATGTTTTCAGTGAAGATGAGGATGATTTACCAGGTGTGTCACATATGTGGACTTGTCTGTTACAGTCCCTCTCTTTGTATATTATGCAAGGGGGTAGAGTGGTAAGTCATTGAGTCTGGTTGTTGGCACACTTTAAAAAGACCCACCTCACTCTGTAAGCTCAGGAGACATGGTATATCTGAGAGGAAAACCACAGTATGTGCTTTCTGGCAGAAGGGAAACTTGCAGAGCATGGACGGTTCAGGTAGTGGTGACGTGATAATTCACAGAGCACGTCTCGTATTGTAATGTCATTCCTTGCTTTCTGCTGCTCAATAAAACCATGACCAAAAGCAGCTTGTGGGGGAAAGGGTTTAGTTCAGCTCCCAGGGAATTCAGGACAGGAGCTCAAAGCTGGAACTTAAACTAGAAGTGCTATGTAAAACCAGAACTAAACTCTGTAACGTGAGGGGGGCCTGCTGCTTGTTGTGGTTTTCTGTCCCACCCGGTACCCCACAGCCAGCAAGCCCCAAATAAAATCACACATAGGTCTCCATAAATTATAAGCTGATTGACCCATTAGCTGTAGCCTCTCACTGGCTAACTCTCACATCTTGATTAACCCATTTTTTCTGATCTATGTTAGCCATGTGGCTCAGTACCTTTTTTCAGTGGGGCAGATCACATCCTGTTGCTTTGGTGGTCTGGGCAGGAGTGGCAGGAATCAACTTCCTCCTTCCCAGAATTCTCCTGTTCTCATTACATCATTTCTACTTCCTGTCTGGTTTTCCCGCCTATACTTCCTGCCTGGCCAATCAGCATTTATTTAAAACATGATTGACAGAATACAGACAATTCTCCCACACCAAAACTCTGTCTCAGTGGTCTTGCCTAGCCTCCACCCTTTTTATACCTGCTTAAAGAGCTTCTCTCTAGAGGCCTGCAGTGCACACAGGTTCCAGCTCCTGAAACCTGCCCTATCTCCAGGACTGGGAGCCTTTGCATTTGAGCACCCTTTCCACCGTGCAATTTATCTCTAACTCACAGAGGCCTGGCTTGAGTTAGATAAACTGTGGGCTTTGAGATTTGGTTACTGTAGTGGGGGATTCTTAAAGGGTTCTGTTTTGTTTACAGATCAGAATGTTTTCCACTGGCTGCTAGAGAGTTGTCTCTAACTGTTCTCAGTTGTTTAAGGGCACTTGAGAAACAATCTCCCGCGCCCCCCCCCCCTTTTTTTTAAGTATAAGCCACTTGTAATTTTGTAGAAACAAAATCTTCCAGCATCAGTACCCACCCTTTGGTGATTGAACTTTGGGCACGTAGGCTTGACACCTGCCCTGCTATTTCAGAATCTCCAGTTTAGATGCAGTATATGCTTTCCTTGGACAACCTCTCTGTTCTCCCAAATGCAGTAAGCAACTTTTTCTGCATTCAGTTGCTGCGGTGGCTGCCCTTGCTATGTGTAGTCCTCAGTTGAGAGGATGGAGAGGGAAATAGCTGAAGTCATTGCTCCTTGGAGACCAAAGGAGATCTCAGAGAGATCAGCAAAGGAATGATAGGAAGCTTGAGGTGGGACTCAGATTCCTGCAACCAGAGGATCAGCCCCAAGGCCAGGCCTAACCTTTGAAATTTTGGTGGCTGTAGGCAAAGTCAGCCAGCCTATACAGTGAGCCTGTTAGATAGTTTGCTGCTCAATTATTTGTTGCTCTGCAGCATTAACACCAGGTTCCAGGCTCTGGGCCTGTGACAATGTACTCTGAGGAAGAGGCACAGCCAAGTCCCTGGGCTGAGAGGAGCAAAGCTGGAGTTGGTCCCACTGCCAACAAGGGCACAGACTGTGGTTCTGAGCACCTGCCCACAGTCACTGTTGACTTCATGATATATGAAGTGACCACTATATAGTGAATGAAGTGGCCACATGTTTGTATGAGGTTGGCTGTATCTTAAGTCCTATTTGAAATGCTAAGAAGCAATAAATAGGAAAAGGTCATTCAGTGAATACACATATATCTAGGGAATTCTTTTCTTTGGTTTTTCCACTTTCTTTTATATAGGCATTTTATGAGTATAACCATTAAAGAGTTCTTTATGTATGATGGTAGTATTCAGGCACATGGTACCAATTTCAGAATGTTCAGACATGTTCATTGAGATGTTCTGACAATGCCTCAGCCCACACTGAGCAGGCAGGCTATGTTGCAGACTCCCTGGTTGGCGATGTGTCCTTCCAGAAATGTTAGTGAAGCTTTGTGAATAGCCTGGTTGTCTCCCAGCAAGGGCATCTCAGTCTTAATAGTTGCATTTTGCTTGCAAAAGATCAGATAAGTCCAGGCATGCTGCTTATTCTGACCCAGTTCTACAGCATTGTTTTGCAACCAATTCTTTTTTCTGATTTTCTTCCAGTTACTGGATCATCGGGTGTCCCTGAAAACAACCCACCTTGTACTGTGAACATCCCTATTGCACCAATCCACAGCTCTGCTCAAGCTCTGTCCCCCACACAGAGCATAGGGCTGGTACAATCCCTGCTGGCCAATCAAAATGTGCAGCTGGATGTCTTGACCAATCAGACAACAGCTGTAGGGGCAGTAGAGCATGCAGGTGATGCTACCACCCAATACCCAGTTTCCAGTCGATACCCCAATCCTGGACAGGTGATTTTTGGAGGTGTAGAAATGGGCCGCATCATTCAGAACCCTCCTCAATTGCCTTTGCCGCCACCTCCACCACCGCCACCACCACAGGGGCCTCTGCAGCTGTCTGTGGTGGACCATGGAGATCGAGACCATGAGCACCTGCAGAAGTCAGCCAAGTCCCTACGACCAGTGCTTCAGCTGGCAGCCGAGGGGGATGCAGTGGTTTTCAGTGCCCCTCAGGAGGTCCAGGTGGCAAAGATGAATCCCCCACCCCCATACCCAGGAACGATCCCTGCTGCCCCCACCACAGCAGCACCCCCACCTCCTCTGCCGCCACCACAGCCCCCAGTGGATGTGTGTCTGAAGAAAGGTGACTTCTCCCTCTGCTCTCCGGCAGCACACTACCAGCCTCCCCTAGGCTATGAGAGGATCACCACCTTTGACAGCAGCGGCAATGTGGAAGAGGTTTGCCGGCCTCGCACTCGGATGCTCTGTTCCCAGAACACCTACACTCTTCCTGGCCCAGGTAGTTCTGCCACCTTGAGACTCACAGCCACTGAGAAGAAGGTTCTCCAACCCTGCACCAGTGCCACTCTGAACCGCCTGACTGTCCCTCGATACTCCATCCCCACAGGGGATCCACCTCCATATCCTGAAATTGCTAGTCAACTGGCTCAGGGACGGAGTGCCACTCAGAGACTGGACAGTAGTCTCATCCATGCCACCTTGCGAAGGAACAACCGTGAGGTTGCACTTAAGATGGCCCAGCTGGCTGACAGCTCCCGTACCCCACTGCAGCCCCTGGTCAAGCCTAAGGGTGGCCCTAGTGGGGCAGTGGCACAGCTCCCAGCAAGGCCTCCACCTGCCCTATATACCTGCAGCCAGTGCAGTGGAGCTGGGTCCAGCTCACAGCCAGGTGCAGCCCTGGCCCATGCTATCAGCACCTCCCCACTAGCCTCCCAGTCCTCCTACAACCTTCTGAGCCCTCCGGACACCTCCCGTGATCGTACTGACTATGTCAACTCAGCCTTCACAGAGGACGAGGCACTGTCTCAGCACTGTCAGCTGGAGAAGCCTCTGAGGCATCCCCCACTTCCTGAAGCTACTGTCACAGTGAAGCGGCCTCCCCCTTACCAGTGGGACCCTGTGCTGGGTGAGGACGTTTGGGTTCCTCAAGAAAGGACAGCACAACCTGCAGTGCCCAACCCCTTAAAACTGTCCCCCCTGATGCTAGGGCAAGGCCAGCACCTGGATGTAGCTCGAGTGCCCTTTGTGTCTCCCAAGTCTCCGTCCAGCCCTACTGCCACCTTCCAGACAGGCTATGGCATGGGAGTGCCATATCCAGGCAGCTATAACAACCCCTCTTTGCCTGGAGTACAAGCTCCGTGCTCCCCTAAAGATGCCCTGTCCCCAGCACAGTTTGCACAACAGGAGTCTGCTGTTGTACTTCAGCCAGCGTACCCACCCAGTCTTTCCTATTGCACCTTGCCCCCCACATACCCAGGAAGCAGCACATGCTCCAGTTTACAGCTGCCACCTATCGCCTTGCACCCTTGGAGTTCCTATAGCACCTGCCCACCCATGCAAAATCCCCAGGGCACTCTCCCATCCAAGCCCCATTTAGTGGTGGAGAAGCCTCTTGTGTCCCCACCACCTGCAGAGCTCCAAAGCCACATGGGCACAGAGGTGATGGTAGAGACTGCGGACAATTTCCAAGAAGTCCTCTCTCTGACAGAAAGCCCTGTCCCCCAGAGAACAGAAAAATTTGGAAAGAAGAACCGGAAGCGCCTGGATAGCCGAGCAGAGGAAGGAAATGTTCAGGCCATCACTGAGGGCAAAGTCAAAAAGGATGCAAGGGCTTTGAGTGACTTTAATTCTCTCATCTCCAGCCCTCGCCTGGGGAGAGAGAAGAAGAAAGTGAAAAGTCAGAAAGACCAACTGAAATCCAAAAAGTTGAACAAGACAAACGAATTCCAGGACAGCTCAGAGAGTGAGCCCGAGCTGTTCATCAGCGGAGATGAGCTGATGAACCAAAGCCAGGGCAGCAAGAAGGGGTGGAAGAGCAAGAGGAGCCTGCGCACGGCCAGTGAGCTGGAGGAATTCAAGTGCCGCAAAGCCAGTGAGAAGGAAGACGGGCGACTGGGCAGTCAAGGCTTCGTGTATGTAATGGCCAACAAACAGCCTCTGTGGAATGAAGCCACACAGGTGTACCAGCTGGATTTTGGAGGAAGGGTGACCCAGGAATCTGCCAAGAACTTCCAGATCGAGCTGGAGGGGCGGCAGGTAAGGAGACTAGCCACTGAACAAATGAGCCAGTGCTGTGGACTGGAGGAACAAGCCCTTCAAAAGCCAGCCAGGAAGGAAGGAGGAAATGTCTCATGAATCTCAGGTGGAGCTAGTTGGTTCAGGTTCTAATTCTCAGAGAACCTTCTGATATACTTTAAATCTAAGTGATGCGTATACCATTGGTCAGATGATTGCATGAGATTAGAAAGAAAACCATGGGACCCACCCATCCCCTCACCACCGGCTCCTCATACAGTTGCAGGTGTCTTCTAGAGTTTGGTATTTTATATTATTTTAAAAGAGCATATACTTTTATTTATTAATATTTCTATTTTAGCCGTCATATTTTGCTTTCCTCCTGTGTAACTCTTTAGTAGTTTGTGCTATCTGCTTCCCACGGGAGCTGTGGAACCTGCTTTTTCATTTTGTGGCTTTGCTTCCCCAAGAAAATGCAGTTTGGATAGAAACAATATGTGCAATACCCCTTCCTTCCTAGCTGTTCATTACCAGCTGCAGAGGAATATTATCCATCTCCCCTACCTTGTATGTACACGTGAGAACTGTCCCCACTTTCCAATTTAAGCAGTAGGCATTGGTGACTGCATTATGTCAGTAAGTGATTCATGACTGAGCCTTGTATGAGTTTTTCCTAAATGTTTTAATTGCCTAGGTATTGTTTGCTTATTTCTGTTTATTGCTAACTCATCTTCCATGTTTCTAATAGAAGGCAAGTCTCCTCTTAGTACAGATCAGGACCATAGAAGACAAATCGTATTTCCTAACACGGATGGCCTCTGTAACCCTACCACCTCATTTCACCTCTTGACCATCCTGAGAAGTCCATCCATTTTTAAATTTCATTTTTACTTTATTAACTTACCAAATATTTTTACTGTGTGCTGTGTCCCTGGAAGTTTCTAAGCCAAGAATTGGCAGACTGCCCCATGGATCTGCTTAACTCCTTTCCTGTGTTTGTAAATAAAGTTTTACTGAAACACAGTCCTTACTTCTTAAGTTTGCAACTACCTTTATTTAACACAAGCAAAGTTGAGTGATTCTACAGAGTATATTAATACAGGCCTAAAGTGTTTCTCAGCACTTTACAGGAGGCTTGCCAATGTTTATTCGGAGTGAAATTAAGAGTATGGAGAGACATGGAATTAACTGTTGTCATGTGTCTTTGAAAAAAGGGAGAGAGACCACAGGACATGCATGTGTGCCTGTGCTGCGATGCAGTAGTCTCACACAAGCTGAGCAGGGCAAGGAGGAGCATGGTGGAAAGGAAGCTGTGGTGATTTAGATAAGTGGCCAGGGAAGCCTTCCCTGAGCTGGAAAACTTGGACAAAGCACATCTCTGGTCTTTCCGAATGGGAAGCCTCCTTTTGTCTGCGGTGGAGAGCCCACTTTATCTCACCCGTAGCCCTTACGTCATCACCACCCCCGTCTGTCCCCTGTCCTATAAATCTGTAATTAGATCTAGAAGCCCCTCAGATTCAGTTACGTGGGTTTCTAGAACTCTCATGAACGATGCTCTCTGCTCCCCTTGGAGTTGGGACATCTGACTGTTAGCTCACTTTCTCTTCCTTTCTTGTGTTTGCTCTCATTTCTTCCCCAGGTGATGCAGTTTGGACGGATTGACGGTAATGCATACATCCTAGACTTCCAGTACCCCTTCTCAGCCGTGCAGGCTTTTGCTGTTGCCCTGGCCAATGTGACTCAGCGCCTAAAATGAAGAGACAGATGCAGAGGGAGACATGCCAGGAGCCTTTGGAGGAAGATGTGCTGCTACTACCAAGGACCGGAGACAGCAACAGTAGAAGAAGCCAGCAGGCAGGAGGGTGCTGTTGTTTAGATGTGGTCAATTGTCCATTTATCCTTTATTGCCCCTCCTTTCTCCTTTTGATAGAGTAGTATTTGGAAGCCAAGAACTTGAGGGATCGTGTATTCTGGAAGGCAGTGTAGCTTGTCTATAGAATGTTTCACTGATTTACTGTTCAGTAACTAGGACGAAGACCTTTGGAAAGAAGACAGATTGCTTTGAGCCTGCTCTTCTTTTAGGCATAGGGAGTGTGTGTAAGTGTTCATTCTGGACTCTGTTACTGTTATCACTAGTGCAAAAAAACGTTTGTTTTTTTTCCCAACATAACCAAAACTCTGGAAGATTCAGCTTCTCTTTTGAGGGAGGACAAAACTTAATTCACACATATGTGCTGCTTACTAGAAGGTACCTACACGAATGAAGGACACATATGCAAATGACTTGTGCTCTGCTGATGTAAACCAAGGTAAACAGCTGCTGTCGCTAGTGTGAATGTGATTTGGTAGCCAGTCTATGAGGCGACAGGCCTACAGCACTGCAGATAACTGGGTGAGCTTGTGCAAGGACTGTTCTCTCCCAAGGATGCTGGTGGAAACCCCACTAGTTTCTTTAAAGTCAGAATCCCATCTGACTTTGGGAGAAGGTAAGAGACCTTAGGCTGAGGCAGAGCTGGGCTTAAATTCACATTCACCAGACTGGTCCATCACCAGATACCTCCACTTGTCAAGAAACAGCCTTTGTTCTCCCTACTCCTTTGTTTTAATCTGGAATATTTTACTGTAAACATGTTTCTCTTTAGATCTCATTGCTTTGTCTTTTCAAAAGTATGAATGGGACTTGATTTGAAACTACACCATTCCTTCCCTTGGCCACATTAAAGTTCAGCTGATTTGAATGCTTTTTTTTTCTATTATAAGTGTGATCAAAAATCTTTGTGCATTTCCCAGGATATTAAAAGATAAGGATGTGGTCACATCTTTGTGGGAAGCTCCACAGTATTCTCTGAGGGAAAAAAGAACTGTCTTTGGGTGTAAAAGACAAACCACTGGGAAAACCTTGGTAAGACTCTCAGACTTAGGTAGTTGACTGTCTATATGCCATTCCTTCTGCCTGTAGTATCTTTGCCCAGTTTCTTCTTGTTGTGGGAATACACCTTGGGCAAATACTCAAACTTTATTGTGAGAACCGGTTTGTGCTGTAGCTTTTACCTGTGATGTTGTTCATTCCCAGAGCACAAGAACTGCCCGCTGGCCTTGACTCCTAAGTGTGAGTTTTATTTGAAAACTGACCAGTGGAAGATGCTACAGGAAACTTTTCACTTAAACATTGTTTTGTGTTTATTTTTTTTTCTTGTGTTTGGTTTAAGAATTAGAAAAGAAACTGTTTGATTTCTTTATTTGAGCAAAATTAAATTACTCATCATTCTTTCAAAATTCCAAAGAAATACTAACAAGGACATATCTCAGCTGATACTGGAGTTTTCCGTTTTATAATTAAAAATACGGGAGCTGATTCTTAGGTGGGTCAGTTGTCCCAGGAAGTGTTGAATAGTGTATTGGGAATGACTGTGTTGGTTTACGTCAGTTTTTGTAGCTTGATAAGGTATTCCCGTGCTATCATTAGTTGTGCAATATGGTTGTAGCCTCTCAGTTCATGGAATAATTTAAATGCAATTCCTTTGTTTTGTTGTCTAAGAGATAGTTATTTATCTTGCTCTTTATAATATTCTTGGGAACTATTTTGTTACTATGTATCGGTGATTTATGCCCATTATTATTTATTTAGAAAAATAGTACCTTTGTAATGACTTACTTGGTGGCAATATATTTTGCTGCAAAAAATAAAGAGAATGTGACAGAAGATGGTTTTTGCTGGATAATTTGTAACTTTCTTGAAAATTGGGAAAAAAAATCCTGTTAATCCCTTAAAAAGTAAATTCACTCCATCAGTATTGATTATATGCAAAATAGGCTATTTCTTTGAGATAGCATACCCTAAGGTAGTATTTCTCCTTATTTTGAAAATTTTAGTTAGCAATAAAAAGTGATAGGACACAAGGAAGGGTGAGAGCTCTTACATAAGCGTAGCAGAAGAGGGACCTTAATCAGTAGTCTTCAGTTTTGTGTTTAGTTCACGCTGGCTTTTTGCAAATCTGTAAAAGTTATACTTTATAAATTTGCTAAATAAGATTGAGTATGGAGGAAATCATCTCTAAAAGATATTTTCCATCCATGGAGATGCCTGCTTCCTGTCTTGAATGATGCTTGACCTGTGAGCTGCAGAATAGAACCGGGAGCTCCTGCCACCCACTAGACTCCTTTCCCAGGCTAAGGAGGAGTGAGTCTCGGGCACCACATGTGCAGTAGGCTGCTGGCAGCGGCAGTCATGACACAGTGTCACTTAAGATAATGGCTTCTTTTAAAAATTGTTTGATACAGTCAACATCATTTAACTAAATTCTCCTCAAGCTAAGACTTTAAGTAACAGAATTCTAGGCACTTCATGGTTACTAATAGAAATTTGTGAACATCACAGTGTCTCATTGGCTCCCTAAAATAAAAAACAGTCAACTACGTAGAGACTTATAAAAAAAACAGTATATTAATAAACAAAATGGGTGTTAGGTTTGTCTGGTTCTGACCACATCAAAACAGAGGTCATGGATGTTTGTACAGGTACCCATTTGAATCTATATTCTGAGAAAAAGTGGACCTATAAAGCTAGAACTACTCAGAGTTCTAATGGACACAGAAAGCAAAAGCTTTTGCAAGTTGGTACTTTTCATCCACAGCCGTTCTCCTTTATGTAATGTCTGTTCTGTAATCAAAGGTCGGGGGCCAAGGTCGAGTTGCTCTGTCATAGGGGTGGAGAGTGAATTTGGCTGGAGGTGTCTGACCTCCTTTTGTCCATCTCTTAATTAAAGGGGATGGGGATATGCAAACTTGAAAACTCTTTTTCTCTGGTAGCCTAATTTGGCAGCTCATCTTCCCCTTCATGAGATTGAGAATGTTTCAAAACATGGCCTTTTTGTAGAAAAAAAAAAAAAGTTCTTTTTTGATTCAGAGCTGTCTACTTGAACAGAAACCAGTATATCTTTGAAAGTTCACCCCTAAAATGTGTTTGGAATCATGTTTAGTCTACTAAAATTATAGAAGCACCAAATCCAAGTACAGTGGAAGTCCCTTCGAGTCCCTATGAGTGTGCTCTCTTCAGTGGGCACATGTGTCTCAAATTGAGAGCGGTTCAGAGTGTCATTTGTGGCTTGCTTCTTGTAGAGCATTCATGTGGAAGACTCTTTTTTTCTAATTCAGAAGGCTTTCTGAGAAAGGCATCTGTGGGAGGAAACTCTACTGTCCCTGTGTGGGCTGTGGATGGGTTGACAACGTTAGCTGGGTTGCAGCTGTCATTTGAGTTTCTGGGACTTTATGGTAGCATACAATTGAGAACTCTACACCACTGTGTATCTTTCTCCTTATCTCTGGCTGATAAACTCTGCAGGATTGTGGCTTGTTTTGTTTCCATTTTTTTTTTCGGCTTTGTGCAGTTTTCTTGTGACTTTAACTGAATCTATATTTTCTGTTTACAAGTTAATTTTAAGGGGAAGGGTAGGGTTTTAAGGTCTTGTTTATTGTAGATAATTTTCTTCTCGTGTTGTGGGAGAGCATGGGTTATAATTTGAGTGAAAAGGCACTGTATTATTTACCAAAGGTGTATTGTTTGCATTTGTTTATAAATGCATTACTTTAGTACTGTAAATTTGGGCATAATTTCCAAGTTTACTACTATTGCTACTGCTGGCATCTACCTTTCTCCCTCTCTCATCTTTTTATTCCCATAAATGTGCATTGTGGGGTGCATAGGTCACAGACCAAACGAGACCACCAGCATGTTCTTGTCCACACTTTGGGAACAGCGTGCACTGTTTTGTACACATCAGCCCCTCTCCCCACCGTGTTGGTTTTCAATTTTTTTTTTTAATTCAGCACCTTGCTTTGTTTAACTTTCCAGACAAGATCTGTTGAGAGTCGCCATTGCTTCTCAATGATCTCTTCCTTATTTGCCTGTCTTTGTATGTACTTTGTATACTCGATTGTGCAGGAAGTATTTTAGATGGGATAAATGGTTTGCATTCAAAATGATGTAGTTTGTCAAAATTATTTTGCCTTTACTATTGAGATGGGTTACTCTCAGTTTTTTTTCTGGATGATTTGAAATTGTAAGATTTGTCCAGCTATTGCTTAATAAAATTTTGCAGATTAAAAAAATATTAGATGTGTGCCAAGTTTGAATTATGGGTCATTTGAGAAGAAACTACATCCTTCCACTGGCATGACCTTCTGAACCCCCCACCAGTTGCTTCAAGGGTCCCCTGGGAAATGCCAACATGACAGGGACACTGAAATGTCCCTGTCATTCCATTGCTGAGTTTGAGAGGTCAGATCATGTTGTCTACTTGGTGAATTGCTTTGACTTTCTATTTTTTCTTCCTTCTGGAAAAGATTCCAGTTAAGAATGCCTTTATAGTCTTGAATGATACTGAGTTTACCTGATTGTGTAACATGATTTGTGCTGCTCGTTAATTTTTTCGAATAAATATTTAGTTATATCATGGGGGGAAACTTAACTAAACCCAGTTTTAAGCCATTTTGCTAAAACACACCAGTGTAACTGTTGACTTATGGTACTAATGAGTGCTTTCAGGCCTCCTTTCTCTTATTGGGAGTATACGTACAAGCCCTTTACAGTGTCTGTCTACAAAACAACTGTTGTGCTCACTCAGACTTAAAGAGCTAGAAGAACACAAACCTGCACCAACTCCAGTACAACCTAATTAGGAATTGTTCTAAAATTATTGTGGGATTGATTATAAACCTGTGCTTTATATATCCAAAAGATGACCAAATGCCTTATACAAAAGCAAGTCTGTCTCATTTTGTTATGAGTGTACATGATCACTGGAGAATTCTTTCATGACATCTTCACTTAACAGCCAGCCCAAACCTGGTCTGTCTCCTCTCACCCACCAATATTCCCAATACCTAGTTCCTATCTGGGCCTACTGGAAGGAGCTATGTCCGGGATTTCTAGTACCGCCAAACTACTTAGCATCTTTGGGACAATTCAGTCAAGTCAGGGTTTCCAAGAATGATTTCTTATTTTTAAAGATTTATCTATCTTCATATGTAAGAGTATTTTTGCCTGCACGTATGTACATACACAGCGTGGGTACCTGCTGCCTGTAGAGGTCAGAAGCACTTGTTTGAGCCCCTAGAACCAGAGATTATGGACAGCTGTGACCCACCATGTGAGTGCTGGAAATCAAACCTGTTTACTCTGCAAGAGCAAAACTGCTCTCAACCACTGAGCCAACTATCTAGCCTGTGTGATTTATTTTTAATATCCTGGAAAGAGAACTTAGAAAATCTCCATCTGTAAATTCAGTTTAGAAAGGTTATGTTCTGTTTATTAGTTGTAGTTATCTTTTCCTAGAAAAATAAGGGATAAGTTTCCATCTTCTAGCCCCAAACATTTAGTATGAGGAGGAATGCCTGCCTCGAGGAGACTGCAAGGCAGTTTCCTAAGGATGTAGAGGCACTGACGAGAGCACGACACCCTAACTCCACTGGGAAGAAGATGCCATCCACCTCCCTCTTTATAAATAAGGACAAAACTGGACCATTGAAGAGGTTGAAATGATTGCTAAACAGAATCCAGAGTTTCTGGGCCACATTAGTGAGAAGACCTCAATTATTTCTACATTCTCACTCTCTTCTTCGTTTTATCTGAGACAAAGTCTCCATATATCCCCAGCTGCCCTAGAACTAGCTCTGTAGACCAGGCTGGCCTCACTCATAAAGATCCACTTGCCTCTGCCTCCCAAGTGCTGGTCTTAAATCATATGCCGTGCCAGGCTCCCAGCTTCCCACTCCTGTTTAGTAATAACCTATTCGTACTCAGTCACCTGTGAGGAATACCAGGTAAACGTCCCCATTCTGGAGGTGTTCTCGTGTCAGTACTTTCTGAAGTCTGAACACTTCTCTCACAGGCTGGATTGTTCAACCAGGTCTCACAAGGGCACAGATTGATGTCCATTTGTTTCTCTGCAGCTCTTAGAAACATTTATGCCGTCTGCTGAAAATATGAAGCTATCCTTATGCCAAGTAGCCTCACTCCTGGGGTCTTTTTAAGTTTCTGCCAAACCTATGACTTCAAATAAAGGAGGTCACTCCACTGGAGCAAAACCCAGCAAGAGCCCAGTGTTGGGTGCAGACAGTGGTGCACGGGCCCTTGGTTTTCTTCTCTGGGTTTCCCGCTCTCCACTTCTCTCCAAGGGGAAGTGTGTTCCTGTGCCATAGAGGATGTGAAAGCCAGCTCTCAGTTCTCTTGAGTCGGAACCTTCAGTGAAGCATCAATACTTTGAAGCTGGAGACGAGGTAAGAGAGCTCTTGGGAAATTACAGAACCATAAAAGCGAAATGGCTGGATTAGTGAGGAATAAGTCTGAAGGATTTATTCAACTCCAGCTTTTATCTCTTCGTCATGAGCAATGTGAACCTCCTCCCAGCTCAGCATTTTAGAAACTCAGGAATCCCATTTGCTCCTTTTAGTCCATGCCCCTCTGCATGTTCTTCCTCACCTAGAGCCTCTGCAGTCATTTATCACACATAGAGCTAGGACTCCCTTGCTGCATTCCACAACACCCTCAAAAGATGGAGTATGCTAGATAGAAATGGGCTGGCTGCGTTAGCACTCCTCAGCCACTGATCCAGTGCTTCCCTCGGCAGGGCCAGCCAGCCCTACCCTCCAGGGCCCTCAGTGCTGCTCTTGACTTTCATCCAGAACAGAAAGACTGGGTCATCCTGATGCCATTCCATTATTGGAGGGGAGCTGAGGCTGGCATAACTCTCTCAGTCCTTTCCTGGACTCACGTAAGTCCTAGGTGATTGGTCCTCTGATAGGAAGCCTGTCAAGTTCTTGCACTTTGGTTCAGCAGTAGGTAAATTCCCTTTCCCAGGCCACTGAAAGCTGAAGCTGACCAGTGTTCTGGTTGGCTCTGTTTTGCTTTGTCTTGTCTGTTTTTCTCTCCTCCAAGTGAAAAAGGCAAACACCAGAGTACAACATGGCTGTAGCTCCTGTAGGAGGGTGGTTCTGAAGGAATGTGTTTCTGTGCACCATCGGGATCCTGACTTCTGATTCCTCCCTTTCTCAAGTCTGCTACGGACTGGAGGAGGAGTATGGTTCCTCACCAGTGGTAGATGTCCCAGCTCTTTTGTTGTAAAACCATTCCTCTGGTCCTCGCTCATCCATTAGAACAGCCGGTCCCTGCCTGGGCTTCATCTCCAGCAGTTATAGGAAAAGAATCTGCAAGCCCAAGTGATGTCTTTGGTGACCGCAGATCATGCCATGTAGGCTGGAAAGGGAGGGAGGTTGCCCTAAAAACTACCTGTCATATAGTTTATTGAACTCTTAGACCCTGAAAGTTGGTCTTGGCTTCCTCCTGCCCATCAGTTCCCAAAGGCTGTACCTAGAGATGGGAGTGTCCCCTTGCTTACAGAGCTTCCTCTCATGAGATAAGTATGAGCATTCATTTGGTTCTACACACACCTCCTAGCAGGTGCTAAGCTGCAAAGCTAACTTTAGCTCCAGGGAAGCTGTGGGTGCTGAAGGGGACTCCGCACAGTGAGGGCTCCTTCCAGACCTTGGATTAGTCACAAACCACACCCAAACAACCTGTTTTCACAGGTTTATTCTTCCCCTTTTAATAAAGGGGGAAGAAAAGCTAAAGTGGCTGCTTTCTAACTGGGATAGAAAAACAGCATCAAATGACTTTGTGGGTGTCAGCATAAGAAGAGAAAAAGGGGAGGTCTGTGTTAGAATGGCTTAGGATGAGGTTGTAAAGGAGATAGAGGATAGGGGGAAGGGAACAAAGCAAAGGGCCAGGGATGTTTGTCCCAGAGAGACAAAGGACTACGTCTGTGGGTAGAGAGGAGACAGAAGTGGCACATAGGTAAATGACAGCTGATGAAGGTAAAGGGGGAAACCCATGTTAGGATGAGGTGTTTAGTTTTAATTGGGCATGTTAATTAGGTGAGCTAAAGGGGGCCTCTGATCGCTGGACCTTGGTAGTCAGTCTCAGGAGGAGAACGTGACCAAATAAGGAAATAGACCTTGGGGGCTAGCTTCAGGAATATAATCTAAGGCCTGCCAGAGCCACAGGCTAGAGTGGACTGGTGTCCCTTCAGCACCAAGAGTCTTTGTTAGAGAACAGAGCCTCAGTTCCCCACATACAGCGCCAGGAAGAACTGATGGGCCGGACTAAAGCAATGGGCTTCTTAAATCACATAGACCTGGTCAGTTCCTGGTGAGGAGTTCTGCCTGCCTGTCTGCCATTGCAGGGACAGCCCAGCTCCTCTGTGTCGTTGGTCTCTGCAGCAGCTTGGCCAGCACAGCTGACAGTGATGGCAGAGGTACCGAGGCAGGCATTCTGCGGCTGGCAGCCTTGGCCTTAGCAGTGCTTACCCAGCCTGCCTCATTTCTTAGGTGTTTTCATAGCGCTGGGAAATTCGAGTTTGCTGAAACTTGCTAACACTAGACAAATAGAAGAAAAGGCATCCAGAGTTCCTAATGTGCCCTGCGGCCAAAAGACAGGGAAAGTGGGTGTTACAGTGGTAACCAGTAATCCGTAGACCCAGTTCCTGGCGAGGCTGAGTCAGGGATCACTTGAGCCCAGGAATTTAAGCCAGCCTGGATTGCATAGTGATATGTCTTTAAATAAAAAAGGGGGTGCTGAAAAGTGATTTGGTAATCAAAAATACTGTTCTCGCAGAGGACCTGGGTTTGGTTTCCAGTGCCCACATGGCAGCTCACATGGAGTCTCTAACTACAGTTCCAGGGGATCTGGTACCTTCTCTGGCTTCTGGTCACTAAACACCATGCGGTGCACAAACATTGTATGCAGGTGAAGTATCCATACACATAAAAGGAAAACGAATCAGCTTTCAAACAAACAAAAAACAGGACATGGTAGAACATACCTGGAATGTAAGGCCGAGATGGGAAGGCCCCAAGTCTAAAGTTAGCCTGGGCTGTACAGTGGATTCGGGGCAGCCTGGAAGAGAGTGAGTGTTTATATTGAAAACAACAGAGCAAAGGTAGAGGGAAAACGGCCCAGCCATGTGGTGTGGCTTAAATAGTGGGGAGAGGAATAGGGACACAGGTCATCTTAAAAGGGGATTAAATTATTTTTTTTTAAAAAAATAAATGGGTT